CTATCCGTCGCACACAGCGTGCGATGATCGTCACCGATAACGATGTTTTGAAGAAAAAGGATAAAACAACCAAATTTATGTTGCGCACCTGATCAAGCTGTATATATATAGGTATTGCTGAGGAGACAAATACATTGTCGATAAGGTTTTTAATTGGAGAATTAGGTTTACGTGAAAAAAAAAACAAATAAAACAAAAAGGTGATGATAGAAAATAATCGAATTCGAGGGTAAAAAATAGTTTTAATTTTAAAAATCACTTATATCGGATACGGGACTAATTGGACAAGTTTAGTGTTTGGATGTGAACGTACTGGTAAAAGGCAATTACGGACAAAATTTTAATTAAACCATGTATACACTTTCCTATTAATATGTACTGCATATTACGTATTGGGTATCAATATTTAATAATTAAAAACGTAAACGTGGTTCAGTACTATTATACTAAGATGAATTTAACATACCATCATAAATTAATTTCATAGTTTTCTTTTTCATCCCATTCAAATTCCAAATTTAACTATGGCGTTCGGTAGTTCAAGCAACGTAATCATTTCCTATTTTATAATAAATGTTCATATCGTTAATATCTGACGAAAAATAATTTGTAACATGAATGAATGAAAATAATTAATAAGAATGTTTTAAAATGTTCATTAAAAGTAGTATATCGATTTTTGGGATTTGATAACCTATTTATTATGTATCGATAATTTAATCGACAAAAATACCACATTACACGTTATTCGTCATCTTTAATCTGTAGTCTTATTAGGTATTATAAATAATATAAATTATAAATATTTTTTATAAATAAAACGGATTTGAACTTGTATTGTAGTAGCCGTCGAATTATAATCTAGGTAGGATTGTAGGAGTATCTTCACTCTTATCTCCGCCTTAAAATTATTAATTAAGCAATTAGAGGAGCGTTAGACGGGTGGAAGGGGGAAGTACATTCACCACTTTCGTTGCTATTATTAAAACATCTATTTCACCAACGAAAATATTGGGAAAATGCTTGCACTTAGTTTATATACATTTGCAAGTGCCATCTACTACATCTACTACTCATATATATGAGTATACATATAAATGTATATTATATAAAATATAAATTATATAAATGCTTACGCGTTTTTTTTTTTTTTTAAATAACCATTATTCTGTTCCAACGAGAGACTAGAGATCATGTATATTCCGTGACATAAAATTTTTAGAGTTACAATAATACCTGTAAATACGAAATCCGTCCCTATTTGTTTACCATTTTATTCGACTTCCTCCTAAAAACTTATACCGAATGCCGACAAATTCTTTACCATAGTACAATTGTAAGATTGAGAAAAATCTCATAGATTGATCAACAACATATGTATTTTCAATCGTATTACACAAAATATATCTGATTATTATAATGCAGTCAAGTGATCTCAAAATCACTTCGAACGATTTTTAAACCTATAGATTTTCATGACATATATTTTGAACTGTAACATAAATCCGTGAATCGATCGTTGTGCTTGTTGCAATCTGTCTTAGATTTCGATCGTTATTACCCTTGTTTGCATTCCAATGATCCGGGCTTTTCACCTGTCATATTCTTACTGTAATACATAGCTTATTCCCTTATATATTATTCCTTTATGTATGCCAATACACTATGTACTCTCAATGACACATTAAGTATGATAAAGAAATATTTATAGTGCGCAGTTTGATCGTAAATTTGTCCCATTAGTGTTTCACTGAAAATTCATTTTTATGTAACACAATATTAAACAGTTGAAAGGAGACGTATTCTTGCAATTGCATTGGATTTATCAGTTCCTATTGTAAAATAGTTGGAATGTATTTATTTATTCGATGTCGTTAAGACATCTCAATCCAAAAGTAATAACCAGTGTAGATGAATTTATATATATATGTATGTACAATGAAACTTCTAAATACCGGACAGTGTCGGTCGCTGAAATTGTGTCCGCTATTTAGAGAGAGAAGCTATATTTCTGTTAAATTAAAATCATAAATTAATTCAATTTTTACATTGATTAAATACATAAATCTTAAAAATTTGCATTTATTAAAAAAATACGTTCGTATTGTCATCACAAACACTACTAAATACTAATACGACAATGCAGTCACAACATATTTTTCGTCGATGCGTTAATATTTCAATTGTATGGATAAGATAAGATATACTCTAATGTATGTAATAAAATATAACTCAACAATGCAGTCCTTTATTTTAGTATTCCACAATTATTTTTAATTTAAGATAAAAATGATGAATTATAAAAATTGAAATGCCATAAAAGCGTCCGTTTTTTAAGAGTGTACCGTATTTATAGGTTTTTCCTATAAGAGAGTAGTGAAAATGTTTCCGTTTCTGAAAAAACATCCATTATTTAAAGGTGTCCGCCAAGGAGGTTTCACTAAGTATAAAAACATCATTCAAATATTCAATTACGAAAATATATCGAACGATTTAAACTTTAAAAAATATTATTCCATTACTATTTTAATTTACAGGCGTTGTGTAACGATATAATATTATATATACACATCATGCTTCGAGAATATTAAACAAAATAAATATATAACGAGTGTATTATCTTAAAGTTTGGGTCAAACTTGTAGGTATACCATCTATATATCATATATATCCATGTGCAGCTGTACTAGTCGACGGGCGGCAGCAATCCTAACAATTTTTCATTTGGACTGCCATAATAATATAATATACGATAAAAAGTCTACAATAAACAATAATCATTTTCGAAAACCTGTTTTCAAATTGTATTAATTATATTATTATTTTTTTTTTTCTTCGTTTAAATAGAGCAATCGGCCCGTACTAGTCCATTAACGAAAACACGTTTTGAATACATGTAAATGTAAGCAAAATCGATTCGAAACATTTACAATATAATAATAATTATAAGGAAAAAAAAAATAATAATAATAATAAATAAATAGAATTTCAGCGCAATCTAGAATCTCCGCATCGGTGCGTCAATGGTGATGGTAATGTATACGTCTCAACGTATTATCCTTTAAAAGGTACCGAACGATTCGTATACGTTTGTAAATCGGTATTTCATATAATCCTATGTAGAAACGTCGGCGTTTTCATTCGTCTCCTTCGTCCCCCGCACAGCAAACGAGTCTTCGAAGCGTAGCGGTCGAAATAATATACATACGTACTTTTACAGCGAATACGTCTGGAGGGACGCCGCACACATACGTTAAGTATATTGTTACTCAGAGCGCGCGCACGCGTGTGTGTGTACGATTACAGGTGTATACGTGTCGTGTGCAAAGTGTGTGGAATACGGGATTTACTGGTGTACACGGAGACGGAAAACGTAATCAGTTTAACATAAAACACGCGATTTTCCGCCAACGATAGTGTATGCGCGTCGTTATCGTGACGTGTCAACCGGTGTGTACGTACGAGCGTGAATCCTTTCGTGATTTAGAGCCCGTGTTCATTACCGCCGACGTGCGAGACACGACCGGAATGTGCAGGCGATCGTGAGATCGCATCGGCGACGGACTTGTCAAAACCCAGGGGCGGCTCCAGGAGAAGGCCCTAGGGGCCACCCCTCCCCCCAAGAACGTACCGTATTTATAAAAATGTTTATATTGTTAACAAAAAATTCATAATATTATATGGACTATCCGTACGACACGCACAAGTATGTAGATAGAGCCATAGAGGTATGACGGTCGGAAGGAGTTTCTCCACATTTCGGAGACTAAAAACCTAGCTTCGTTCAAGGATGACTGAAAATAGACTATCAGCATTATGTCTAATTAATGTACGCTTATCATAAAATAGATATTCTAGATCAAATAGATCTCATTATTGATATTTTTGGCAAATTTAAATATAGACGATTTGAATTTGTGTTATAAAAAGTATTGTTTTTTTTTTTTTTTTTGTTATAAGATTTAGTAAAATTATAAATTCCCCCCCTCAACCAAGGATCTGGAGCCACCCTTGTCAAAACCGTTGATAACGCGACCGCGGCGTTTGTTACGGGGTTAACTCGACGGTCTCGTAACCAGAGGTGAAACTAGGATAGCCCGGGGAAAATTTTATGATTACGCCCTATCATAGACCAATAATCAAATATCGAGCATTATTTTACCTAATAATTACTGTACTACCATACTTGTTGAGTATAAACTAAATATCGGTATCAGAAACAAAGTTAAAAATATCAAATCATTTGTTAATAATTATGAAAATTACACCCTTTAAAATTTTACACCCAAGGAGGAATCCCCGTCTTCAACCTCTAGTTCCACCACCGCTCGTACCTACCTTTATTGTGCGTGGAATGCATATTGTGTACTGTGTGAGTGGTGTTCCGGTGGTGCGTGCGCATGCGGATCGAGGGACGGTAAACATTGACGTCTACTGCCAAAATGAGAACGGTAGCGGATGCGGAACGCAATTGATACGTACTCGTCGTCGATACCGACAAATAATATGACAAGGTTAATCAACAGACGGTTACCGATGACATTATTTGTTGTTAATTATTGCGACCGTTGCCCCTATTAGGATCTTGGGGTTCCGACGATAAGGTAAGTCTAGGACTCTATAGATATTTAAACACTCGTAGTAAATTTTTTTTCTCAACACTTCTACTTACTTATGATTAGTCGCATATGCACAGATAAAAAAAAAAAAAAAAATGGTTCATCATAAACACTGCACACATTACGTATCATATACAGTAACTATATTTCACTGGAGGGCAGCAGGATAATAAAAAGGCACTGTTTCACTGATCGCGATTCAAGTCTACTGGCCATGGATTGAATTGTTAATAAACTATATAATTTGATTTTAATCGATCTTTAGATAACGAAAATACTTCAGAGTATAATGAGAGTACGAGACATTTATTTATATATTAATCAATATTATTAATAATAATATTTTATTGAAGTTTCTTTGATAACAACAACAGAAAAGTATTGATACGGGCTGGGGTAGTTTCTCGAACTGTAGCGGTACTACGACGTTATCCCGATCCACCCCTTATGGCCACTATATCGGACGTGATGTTACCACGTTAGTGAGTTGAGTATAATGTTGAATAAAAACTGACAGACTTCTCTGAAAATCGACCGAATAATTAATTCAGCTCGACGGATGTAAGAAGAAGCGACATCGTTGCTCGTTTGTTGAGCCTCTTGCGGTTCCTCCTGGATCCTTTTGACTGGCCGTTGCAATCAACAGTTGGTATGCTGTAAGGAGTCAAGGCGTCTGAGTCCTCCTTCGGTACTATTGCACTGATTTTTTTTAAGATCGAACCCCTACAGCACTCGTCCACGTTGTTTAACATTTTTATTCCGGCTTTTTGCTCGGTCAATTCGTCACGTTTTGCAAACGAATCGGTTTGAACGGACGCTTGAACAGCTGCAGACTTCCTTTCAGACTTTCTCGATTTCATCGTAGACGGGGTGGACATTATCGAGTCATTGTTGTTCTGCGACATTTTCGTGGCAAATCGTTGCTCGTTTTTGCTTAAAATTACAACCGGATTCTTTCGTGATTTTTTCATCTTGGTGAAGCACTTGGATATTTTCTGTTGGCCGTTGTTCCCTTCAGGCATGTCTTTGGAAGCTTAAAAATAATAGTGATAACAGTAGTTAAATTTGATCTTGAATTGATACAGGATTAGGGGATAGTTCTCGTATGATTTGGTGATTAAATTAAATCCGTTAATATACTCACTGTTAGAAGCATTGTCCGGTCTGTTTGTAATAATCGAATCAGAGTCATTATTCTCGTCATCCACCGTAATAGACTCGAAACGGTTAACAGAGATATAAGTTTTTTTTATCTATAACCACAGGCATTTGAAATTTGATCGATTGAACATTAATGTAATTTCGCTTCACTGCTGATTTGGTCTTTATTTCGTCTAGATTCAAAACGACTGCAATAAAAAACAGTTATTCTATGTAGATACACAATTTTCATTATTCCATACATCTGTACAATTTTTAATACATTTTACCTTTTGGTACATTTTTCACGGATTGTATTTCCATCATTGGATTTTCCGCTATCTTCTTCCTTGAAACTATTTCATTACCACGGTTGGATTTAACACAACTTGTGTTGCCATTGATTCTAAGGGTTGTATTCGTTTTTTCGTCGGTGTGTTTCCGCACGTTCTTTAAGCTTGTTAGCGTTCTCGACGCCGTCAACATTTTACCAGCATTCAACTCTCCATCCCGATTCGTTGACGTACTTTGAGGTTTTTCACGGATTTTCTTACTGAAAACTTTCTTCGTGCTGTGGATTTCGTCCGTTCGCCCAGGACTCGAATCTTCGAGCTTTTTGACTACTCCCTGTGACTTTATCGGAGACTTCTGCTGTTTTCACTGTCATATTCTTGCAATTTATGGATACGGATATGACTTTCGGAAGATAGTCATCTTCGATCTCATCGTTGAACTTAGAGCGTGTTTCAACAATCTGGAACTCCGTCCTGGTTCACGGGACACGTTTAATGATAAACGATTGGGTAAACATGAGCGGCACATCTTTCCCGGGACGCATTAATTCGCAGAGCGAGGAAACCGCGAACTCCTCCGGGTGCGGTCTGGCTGAGGTGTCCACCGAGCGAACGATCACCGTGCATTTACCGTATTCCATTCGCTTTATAAACCATCCGATCAGACACATGCCGTACATCTCATGATCAGGATGTCCGTACTGCGCGAATACGTAGACAGATTGTTCGTTTAACAACTGACGCAAAGCCGACGGATTTGGTTTTCCCATCAGTGCATCAAAATATTTGGTCACGAATCCTCTTCCAGTTGACTCGATATCTTCAGCGGCCATCACATTCGTCTTTCCCAAGTTGCAGATCATCTCGATATTTAACCAGATCTCTTTTAAACTCACAAATTCGATGATGTTTGTGTTTTACAAAAAAGGTGTCAGCAAATATGTGCAAAATAATAATCGTCCTTTCTCAACGAATGCTAATCGTAGAATGATATATTAAAACCCATTTGTTGAAGGCAACGGGATTTATAAAATGTACACTGTGTTATATTGATATTTTGAAGAGTATACGTAAAAATAATAAAATGTATAATAAATATTATAAAAATATTAAGAAAATTATTCATTTGCTGGTTGGAAAATTCCGTTTTTTTTATTGTTTTCATTTTTCATTTTTATTGAATACTTTAAATAAATTGTATATTTATTGCTTTTATTAAACGTTTCAACGAAAATTATTTAAATGACTTTTATGAACACAATTGTGTATTAAAAAACAATTGTTTATGAGTATTGAGACGGAGAATTGTATAAGGTAAAATATATCTTCAGTTCGATTCCTACTCAGATATTACATTTATTTTAAATATTATAGTTTGGTGTATAAATAATGGTTGTAAGAATCCAAGGAGGAAGTTTTATATGGTAAAGTTAAACTAAATCGATTTAGCTAAGTGATAAATTCGTTTAATGCGATTTTCTACGAAATAAACATTTATTTTTTTGATTTTTATATATTTTTACATAATTTTCAGTAATCCCATTTTTTTCTAATCCTAAATATTTCTACATTTTATTCTTTTAGATCTATTGAAATGAATGGAATGTATTAATGATTAATAGCAAATTTATTTATTATTTAAGTTATAAGTTTATTTAGTTAATAAATTATTTAAACTATAAATTTTTCAAATAGTTGTCTAAACCTATGTTAGATTAATTTAATGTACCGAAATAAATATACTTATTGACGGTTTTTATGCTATAAGCTATAATTTTTACACAAATTTAAGAGGAAATTAACAGTAGTTAAAATTATAATAACGTGTAAATTTCATCTCAATAAATAGGGGTAAAAATATCAAGTTGGTATCCTTAATAAGTAATGTAAGTTTTGTTTAAAACCAATGTATTACGAACGGAATTAGTGCACAGCATAATGCGGGGCGTAACACGAGAAATGTGTTAAACGTGCACTGTTATTTTTCTTTTTTAATAACCCATAACTTACTGTCTCTGTCTCTCTTCTCGCTAAATATAATTTCGTCTTTGAGCCACATCACCATCTCCACGAGCGGTGAACGACGGAAAGGAGAAAAGAATTCGGTGTTATTACAATTTTGACGGATCCGGAAACCCGCGGATATTCGCGCGACCGCGTCACGCACTCGCTTCGTTTGCTCGCAACGCTGGCTATGCGCAGCAGAAATGTTGGTCCGAGAATAAAATATCGTCTTTTCTTTCCCTACCACTCCGTTCCCTCGACAGACAATAATATCCTCGTTCTTCTAGCGGTCGTCTTTTTTTTTTTTTCGGCCCGTCCCGTCAATGTCGTCGTCGTGCAATCGACTTTATTCCGGTCACGCCGTCTATAATCTATCCATGTCAATCTCTCGTGGCCGCGTCGCAGGATATATGGTCACGCGCATACTGTATACGTTCGACACACACACACACACACACGTAGAACTCGGTCGCGAATACAACTCAACTGGGATCGACATCGGATTCTTCGGGCCGATGGCTTTATACGGTAACCTGTACGGTAATATCATCATCATCTAGCCGTCGTCGATCCCGCGTGTCCCGAGTCCGGCTCGATCACGCCCGAGGACCTGCCTGGCGCGCGCGCCCGTCGGATTCGAGTCGGACGACGTTTTTCGACCGCCGCCAATGTCCCTTCCACCGAACTCTCTGGGAGACGACGGTCGTTGTTTTGGACGGGATAGAGTCGTGCACAGCTTTCGTCGCACAACATCGATGCGTATGGCCGTACACTTGCGACCATTTCGCGTCCACGGTAATGTCACCGATGATTTTCCGAAAGGTTGACTATAAACACCAACAATATACCGTCCTCAACAAGGATTGGTACACTTCCGTTTGAATTCAAAGACTCAACAAATTCATAATGCATTTCGAATAACAATTGTTTTCGTAGTACACGACGAACGTAAAAACCGTAAAATCTTGTACGTCGTATACGACCACTGCAAAAACGGTTTTTACGTTTTTTTTTTTTTTTTTTTTTTTTTTAACGAACTAGTGTAAGTCTATTCCATTCTGAATGATTATTTTCGTCCCTTTCGATTCAAGATGTACAATGATAAATGCTGTGTACATGATTATTTGAATTTAAATGTTGTTTATTTATTTAGTTACTCGCGTGCAAGAAAACCCGAAATGATGTAGCATCGATAAATTAACGATGTGGTACTCGACATGATAAATTAGAAAGAGGTTATATTCTCGAAAAGCGATTTGAAATAATATATTTTACGACCGTGCTTAAATGTGTTTTCACGGCTATTACAATAAAACAAAATATACGCACTGCGATGACGAGTCCATAGACCTCATTAAATGCACCAATCGAATGTATTCTACACTCTTGCGGGATTTAGATGTTTATCCTTTCCATACAAGAGTATTAGAAAATAAACGATGTACATTTTAAATTACAAACATCTAACGAAACTGTTGTTAAATATGTATACAACATATTTCAAATGTAATGCATGGTACGACAGTTGATGATGAGCGAAAACAATATTTAAAATGTAAATAATAGTTTTGAAACATTTTAATAGAAATAGATGGACAAATAAAACGAACATTATAGAAATACGAATAACGATAATGATAACGATAAAAAATAAATAGTTTTCTAGAGTTAATAAATGCATAGAAAATAAAACAATCGTTTGTCCTTACACTATCATTGACTGTCGTATTTTAAAGGGACATGTATTCTTTTTTTTTTTTATTAATGCTATATAGGCCGTTGAGGCCTTTTGTATGTTATCCACCAAGTCTCTCCATCATGTATTCTTATTGTAAATCAATTTTTCAATTTTTCGTCGGTTTATCGAAAAAACGTTGTTCTCTTTTTGGTACTGCGGCCGTGCATCGATACTTTTCAATACGCGCGCCTCGGTTATCCATTGATGTATATCTTGTGCGTTACGTTTATGGCGACTGCAGTATATTATGTACTGTCCACAAGTATGACGGCAGAAAATATAAATAAATAATGGTCACACAAACATACAAATAAATTTCATTGCGGCTCATTATGCCTATGTATTTATATATAGATTGATCGCGCCCGGTATACGTTTTAATATCGCCGTATACGATGTAATAATGTTATTGGATATGATTTACGTCTTGTCCACGCGACGGTCGGAAACGCACGAGACGCGGAGAGACACCAAAATGCCAATCGATCGGCTCACGATGTATAACGATATATTGCACAGTTATACACAGAGTGCTTAACCGCATTTATCCCTGTCAATAATATTTCCCTCGTTCGTTTGCATGTATTTTTCAAATCTTTCTACTATCTACCTAACGTAACAGATGTTAAACATACGTTTATTTTTTTAAAAGCAACTTTTGATGTATCAATCGTATGGTGAATGCGACTTTCTGCGGCGCGTAAAATGTTTGAAACATTGTATTTAAAAAATAATTATTAGGTAATGAGTTATTGTCTGGGACACGTCTAAATGTTCTTCACACAGTCCGTCGAAATAAAACATTACTCGGAGTAAAAAATAATTGCGTGGTATTTCTACGTTTTTGTATTCCGTTCGTTGAGAAAAAATTAAATATATCAAGCTTGCGACATTTTATCGGAATCGTCGAGAATCACGCGTACAGCAGTCACGTGCGGTAGCGAAACGAAACCAGAACATCGCAGCAGCAACCGAACTCTGGTCGCGTTTAACTTGAAAACGTTTTTCCCGTGCACTCCGCTCACCGACAGTTAAGAATCTCACTCGCTCGACGACTTATCCGATCGTACGGCTTACCATAAACCGACCGTAACTTAACTACAAACTGTTTACCGGCGAGAACCGTTGATCGCCTGCAAGTCGAAGCCGATCGACGGGATCACAAAATGTCGAATGTGTACCGTCACGAGAAAAAAACCAATCGCAATCGTACACAATGCCGAAACGCGTCCATCTACACACACCCACACGCAATTTACACATGTTCACGCTGTGCATGTCGTGCGTGTGTATACGGGTTAGGCAGCGTTGCGCGATAAAAACCGTACGAACGCGATTGACGAGCATATGTAAACAATCACAGCCGTCACAAACGGTCGTAACGACACGGGCAACGATAACCGTACCCGGCGAAAACGTACGGGCACAATGCATCATCACGCGAGTGTTATTGTGCGTGGCCACTGTTGCGTCGCGCATCCACGTAACTTCCGTACCGATGTCAATGATCGGCGACGTATGCGCGCGCGATAACTTCGGAGATGGGACCGTAGGTTGCAGATCCGCAGCCGTAGCGCACGTCGAAGGTTCAAACGATTTCGCTCCGTCGTCTCAACGCCGTCACGTCGAACACGCTTCCGGGCGCTGCCGTCCACGCGACGCCGTCGGTAAAACAACCCGCCACACCTGCGCTACGAAATCCTAAGGAACGTCCCGAAAACCTCTTTTGCCGATCCCATCAAACGCGTTTCGAACCGGTACGCGAATCATCGCCACTGATATTTTCTCGTCGGTTTCGTGTCGGCCGAGGCGGGTTACCGACCCGCGCGTTCCGTGTCGTTTATCCAACACCGTTTACGTTCGTCCTCCCGACGTCGTCCAGCACAGACCGCGTCGTGCGCCGTCGGTCGTCGTTTTACGATTGAAACACAAAATATTTATGTCACCGGAAACACACTCCCCGTTCAGGCCTAAATAGTCGGACGAGCTAGTGAACACGTGAAAATATTACCGCCGAATCGTTTGACTCCCCGCGGTCATCGGGTATCAGTACCTAGGGGAAAAACATTTCCGTCGCGATCCCCGTCCAAGCATGGAACTATAGGTCGATGGATTTCGCGTCCCTCAATGGTGTCGGTCTACCGAGTACTTGTTACGAAATCGAATTCTAACCATTCGCCGTATCCCGTTGACCGATGTGATTTATCTTAACCTCGTCACCACAAGAGTTGTCGTTTTCGACCAATCATCTTTGATCGCCCGAACCGATATTGAAAAACGGACGAACCGC